ATCATACTCAATGATCAGACAGAATGAATGTCAGCATACGAGAAAGTACATGGGGTTATGTGCAGCAGGAAGTGAAAATATTATTATCCAGAATTATTTGGGAGATACTAGATTGAACTGGATACATATTTGAGTTTAAGTTTAATGAAAATATCAGCTTCACTGGAGTTTACTAGAGAAAAAGAGGAAGATAAAGATGTTTTCTGTGTATACAAAGGCCACAGCAGGTGTGTCTACACCTATTTTATTGGCAGCATCTAATGGCTAAAAGAGATTTCAATATCAAGTCATTGTTTGTCAGCAAACGTGCCTAAAAATAATTTTGAAGGTCTTTGTAGGAAAGCAGATACTCTGTTTTAGGTCCAGATGTTTTCTTCAGGATGACGTGGAGTCTGGTTAAATTGCCTACATGGAAGTAAACTGTTCTGTGACGGTATCTGCAAAATCAAGTATAATCTTTTTCGCTGTCTACATAAAAACAAATGAAAGTTAAGAATTATAGAAAACATTTATATTTTTATATTTGGTTCTGGGACATAAGGCAACATAAGAAAAGTTATGTGCGGGTGACACATACGTGTGCACACACACATAGACACAGCAGTATTTTTTGCCTTATTCTTACTCTTTTCTGAGATCAGCCCAAATATCAGTAATCTGTTGAAATAAGTTTTTTTTTTTTCCAAAAAAAAGTATGTTAGGGAAAACATCTACTGATACTTGTTTCTAACCAAATATTTCCTGAAATGTTTACAAATAATTTAAATCCAGCACTGATGGTAGAGTGAAGGGTATGTTGCTGGGGAGAAAATGCATGCCCAAAGTAGAAAAAATTACCAGTTAAAAATCACAATACATTAAAAAATATTTTTCAAGGATAATTGCCATTTACCTGATAGGTTCTTCATAAAAAATTATAAAATATTTTAAAAGACAACATTCAAATAATCTGTTTTCATTGCTTCCATTTTACAATGATGGGTTTGGGCTAGATGATATATTTGTTTTAAGATCTAATACTGTAACATTTTAGTCAACGTAAGGTGTTAAAATGTGTTCCACTGGTTCATTTAAGAGGTACTTGAAAAAAGCAACTTAAAATTGTGAAGCCTGACAATACAACCCTCTTAATTATAATAAAGTCAAATCCCAGGGAAGGAAAGTAGCTTATTCCAGGATACCTACCCATTCAGGTATCAATCAGTGTCACTACTTCCAAATCTGCTTGGTTATCAAATATTTTGCTTTCATCTTGTTTCGTTTTATTAAAGACTTTAGAGTCCCAGTCTCTACCACCAGAAATTTTGCTGTAATAGTTACGGAGTGAGATTGGGAATTTTGTTTCTTAGAGAGATTCTCAGTATTTTGATTTGCAGGAGAAGGTAGGAAACAGACTACCTGAGATACAGTGATGGAGAGGAACAGGTATGTCACATGGTTCTGGGCAGGATCTCCATTGTCACACACAAGCATTTTTCCTAACAAGTCCGTTATTTCACGCCCCAGGGCATCACCTTCCCAGTGTTTTCTGCCTTCTAGTCAAAAAGCATATTAAAAGAGTTTTCCTTGGTGTCTAGGTTACTTTCCTTTATAGGCTTCCTGTGGAAAAGAACATTCCTGAAGGAAACAAGAATTAAAAGAGTGGATCTATATAGCCCTTTACTTACCATCTGTAGCCCTTTACTTCCCCCTCACTTTCTAGAAGTTTCATTCAGCTTAACTCCCCTAACTCTCATTGTAAAACAAGAATCTAGCCATCTTCATGCTACAGTCTTGAGCCTTTTAAGGCAGTCTGCGATTTGAAAATTATTTACTTTATCTTGGGTCATGGTAGATATATAAAATGAAGTGAATTTCTCTAAATGGTTAGAATTCATCATAAGAAGAAGGCTCTCTGAATACATTTGGCATAAGAATTTCTTAACCTTTTTGGTCATCAAAGTAAAGTTTAGATAAAATGAATATCAAACTAAAAACATAATAAAATTGGTTATAAATAGAGACAGTGGAGAGCAAAAATTGCTTCTAAAATCTTTCACATGGAATTCCAAGCACCCCAATGTTCCTATTCTGTCAGTCCTCAGTGTAGATTTTATGGATTCACTGTATGCAAGTTGTAGCCAAAATATACATCTCTGTTCTTTATGCTACTATGAATGCCAAAGTTTAGCTTAAGGCTTTTTTTTTTTTGTAGCATACTATAAGAAATACATTATAGTTCAGCTCTCAATGAAGTGACTCCTGATTTTCTTGTTAATAAAAAAGTGAATTAGTCTTTTATCTACTAATTTTAAGGAAAGGGTTAGAAAAATATGCAGACTTTGAAGCAAATTAATACTATGTTAGAAATCAGAAACTGCCTAAAGATAATTTAATGAATTTTGTCACATCAATATAAGTTTTAGAAGTGAATGCCCTTTTAAAGAACACTTTTATCATACTCAATGATCAGACAGAATGAATGTCAGCATACGAGAAAGTACATGGGGTTATGTGCAGCAGGAAGTGAAAATATTATTATCCAGAATTATTTGGGAGATACTAGATTGAACTGGATACATATTTGAGTTTAAGTTTAATGAAAATATCAGCTTCACTGGAGTTTACTAGAGAAAAAGAGGAAGATAAAGATGTTTTCTGTGTATACAAAGGCCACAGCAGGTGTGTCTACACCTATTTTATTGGCAGCATCTAATGGCTAAAAGAGATTTCAATATCAAGTCATTGTTTGTCAGCAAACGTGCCTAAAAATAATTTTGAAGGTCTTTGTAGGAAAGCAGATACTCTGTTTTAGGTCCAGATGTTTTCTTCAGGATGACGTGGAGTCTGGTTAAATTGCCTACATGGAAGTAAACTGTTCTGTGACGGTATCTGCAAAATCAAGTATAATCTTTTTCGCTGTCTACATAAAAACAAATGAAAGTTAAGAATTATAGAAAACATTTATATTTTTATATTTGGTTCTGGGACATAAGGCAACATAAGAAAAGTTATGTGCGGGTGACACATACGTGTGCACACACACATAGACACAGCAGTATTTTTTGCCTTATTCTTACTCTTTTCTGAGATCAGCCCAAATATCAGTAATCTGTTGAAATAAGTTTTTTTTTTTTCCAAAAAAAAGTATGTTAGGGAAAACATCTACTGATACTTGTTTCTAACCAAATATTTCCTGAAATGTTTACAAATAATTTAAATCCAGCACTGATGGTAGAGTGAAGGGTATGTTGCTGGGGAGAAAATGCATGCCCAAAGTAGAAAAAATTACCAGTTAAAAATCACAATACATTAAAAAATATTTTTCAAGGATAATTGCCATTTACCTGATAGGTTCTTCATAAAAAATTATAAAATATTTTAAAAGACAACATTCAAATAATCTGTTTTCATTGCTTCCATTTTACAATCAAGGGTTTGGGCTAGATGATATATTTGTTTTAAGATCTAATACTGTAACATTTTAGTCAACGTAAGGTGTTAAAATGTGTTCCACTGGTTCATTTAAGAGGTACTTGAAAAAAGCAACTTAAAATTGTGAAGCCTGACAATACAACCCTCTTAATTATAATAAAGTCAAATCCCAGGGAAGGAAAGTAGCTTATTCCAGGATACCTACCCATTCAGGTATCAATCAGTGTCACTACTTCCAAATCTGCTTGGTTATCAAATATTTTGCTTTCATCTTGTTTCGTTTTATTAAAGACTTTAGAGTCCCAGTCTCTACCACCAGAAATTTTGCTGTAATAGTTACGGAGTGAGATTGGGAATTTTGTTTCTTAGAGAGATTCTCAGTATTTTGATTTGCAGGAGAAGGTAGGAAACAGACTACCTGAGATACAGTGATGGAGAGGAACAGGTATGTCACATGGTTCTGGGCAGGATCTCCATTGTCACACACAAGCATTTTTCCTAACAAGTCCGTTATTTCACGCCCCAGGGCATCACCTTCCCAGTGTTTTCTGCCTTCTAGTCAAAAAGCATATTAAAAGAGTTTTCCTTGGTGTCTAGGTTACTTTCCTTTATAGGCTTCCTGTGGAAAAGAACATTCCTGAAGGAAACAAGAATTAAAAGAGTGGATCTATATAGCCCTTTACTTACCATCTGTAGCCCTTTACTTCCCCCTCACTTTCTAGAAGTTTCATTCAGCTTAACTCCCCTAACTCTCATTGTAAAACAAGAATCTAGCCATCTTCATGCTACAGTCTTGAGCCTTTTAAGGCAGTCTGCGATTTGAAAATTATTTACTTTATCTTGGGTCATGGTAGATATATAAAATGAAGTGAATTTCTCTAAATGGTTAGAATTCATCATAAGAAGAAGGCTCTCTGAATACATTTGGCATAAGAATTTCTTAACCTTTTTGGTCATCAAAGTAAAGTTTAGATAAAATGAATATCAAACTAAAAACATAATAAAATTGGTTATAAATAGAGACAGTGGAGAGCAAAAATTGCTTCTAAAATCTTTCACATGGAATTCCAAGCACCCCAATGTTCCTATTCTGTCAGTCCTCAGTGTAGATTTTATGGATTCACTGTATGCAAGTTGTAGCCAAAATATACATCTCTGTTCTTTATGCTACTATGAATGCCAAAGTTTAGCTTAAGGCTTTTTTTTTTTTGTAGCATACTATAAGAAATACATTATAGTTCAGCTCTCAATGAAGTGACTCCTGATTTTCTTGTTAATAAAAAAGTGAATTAGTCTTTTATCTACTAATTTTAAGGAAAGGGTTAGAAAACAGAAAAGAAATGAATGACTTACCTCTAAATACATATGACTCCAGATAAAGCACTAAAGGTTTACTGCAGTTTTAATAAAAAGTAAATTTCAATATAATTTAATTTCTTTTTGCATTCCATTTAAGGAATGGTTTTTACTGAGGTTGACAAAACAAATTAATTACTTAGTCATGTCATTTATAAGGCAGTCTTAGAATACTGGCTTTGAGAATATACAGTTAAAGCCATACTAGACTGCCAAATAATATATAAAAGTATTTATGAACATTTTATGCTTGCTTTAGAAGGCTGATCTGTTAAACTGGTGACCTTTTTTATTGAAAAGAACAGCAAGGAGATTAATGTTATTTGTTTTCCCTATATGGTTTAAGAAACTATTTATGGGTTGCATTTAGAAATCTATCAATATTAGACATGTGTATAATTCTTATGTTCAACATAGTTGGGGGCGAGGAAGTGGTTAATTAACATATGTACCTTAAATGTCTTAAGTGGATACCTATTAAAAGGTATATAAAATATAAACAGTACAGCATATTTTCAGAACTTTTAAATAAACACAAAGAATATATAGGTATGCATGTTATAATTTCAAAGTCAACACTAGCACATAAGTTTTTCTTATCTAAATACATACTCGAATACGTCCTAGTTCAACACATGCACCTACAAACACATGGTCATGCACATAACCTTGCTTTCCGCCACTTGCAAGAAAGTTAGAATATACAATATTATACATTGTTTCAACTCAAATCATACTGGAAAATCAATGAGGATGGCATTTAAAAATTATGATCTAAGAAATCAAAATACAGGGAGATAAATATTCCATATAGTAAAAACACTGAAGACTGATGCGAAGTTAAGATTTAAATTGCTTGTCCCAATGATCTTGTAAGATAAGGAAAAGAACAGGACTGGTTGTAAACGCTCCAGAATGCTCTGTTTGGCAAACAGGACTAGAGCATTTGTGATCTACGAATCCAGGACAAAGACTTCTTAGACTATCGATGCTTCAGATCGCAGAGAAATGTTATGGCTGTGGGTAGCTCTCCGCAAGGCAGGCGGCGCTGACGGACATCTGGATGCCCACCTGGACGGGAGACGGCGATTTGCTGGTCGAGCAGGTCGGGAAAATCCTTTTCCATGTGCGGCTTTCACTGCCATGGACTCCTAGGATACAGGTAAAGACATTCATCTCCCTGGGCAGGCACCCACAATGGGCTTAATGTATTAAGAGTCTCAAGTATAGGATTAATACATTGCAAAATTACAAGCAAGAAAAAGCACTGAAAACCAGTGTATCTATTTAGTGTTTTTAATTAGAACAATCTAATCAAAGCAAATAAATATCAATAAGGAATATAGCACTTGATAATTCTGTATATCTCCTCATATTGGCAAATTTTAATAATAGTTTTAATAAAATTGGTCTCTTTTTGGAACTAATTATGAGCTCGAGATTCAGAAGGTCAATCTGAATGAAACTACAGGTGTTGCCTTATGGAATATTGGGATGTTTTAGTGTTATTTGGGAGTAAAAAGATAATCTGTAGGAAAAAAAGGTTCATTAGGTTACTTGTAGACATTATAAGCCAAATGTACACAAACTAAATGATTTATCGGATGCTAACTTTTCTTCACCAAGAATTTTCTTCACTGTTACTATCTTTCAAAAGTTTATCATTAAAATACTTTGGAATACAGGAATACAACTTCATTCTAGTTAATTACTAGTAAAGACCTGCTATCTGTGTTGAGCATCTCCTAGTAAGTGAAAATATTCTCTTTCATTTTCTTTCATGTTTTCCCTTATTTCTTTGGATTTTAATGGAAGAAATATACCCTTTAATTCTTATAATTAAAATAAATAAATAAAAAGTTTCCCTGATACATGATATACTCTTGATTCTTTAATTTTTTGAGAGGTTTTTGCTATAGGGTGCATATGCTCGCTGGAAAGACAGAGACAGACAGAAAGTGAAAAATCACCCCCCCAGGGGGAATGGCCATGCTGCAATCCCTTCTCCTCTCGGGATCTTGGGCATGCATGCACAAGTCCCTGGCATGAGTTTACCAGGTCTGGGACTCAAACCATGGTCAATTATGTGGGAGTCCAGTGACAGCTATTACGCCAACTGCTGGTCCCACCCTTGATTCTTATTAACAAAGGTTATGCTCTTTAACCTGAGAGGGACCATGAAGATGGCCCCTATTTCTACAGTTTTAGTCATGGCCTGCAAGTAACCTACAATTTCTTTTACTTTCTTTGGAGACTTCTGTTTTAGATTTGTTCACAGTAGTGAAAAAAAAACTTATTCTTAAGGAAGTAAAGGGGGGGGACTTCCCTCCCAAACCCCCAATCAATGCAAAGAGAGGGAATATCTGCTAGTTAATGCACATTTTGATTGGTTAACATATATGGGTTTTCATTTCCCATCTCCAGGTATAGAACCTTGGAGGTATTTGTAAGCTCAACTAAAAGTTTGTCATTTGTCCTTTATGAAAACCAGCAAGCTTTCTGGTAAAATAGATAAAATGATATTTTTGCAAGGTTTGAAAAACCACATAAAAGTGATTTTTTTTTACTCCAGAAGAAGGCAACCTGTTTAACTTAAAATCATGCTGCGTGTACACTGCATTATGTAAACATAAGACTTTTGCAACATTGGCTCATAATAACTGTATAAGCTTGAAACATTTTGTAAGTTAAGTTCTTACAAATTCTATGCATAAAAGGGACTGATGTGTAATTCTTCATTGTAAATACAACTTGTTTGACCACTTTTTCTCCTGTAACCAAGATTATACTCATATATGACAGGAACGACAAAATAACAGCAAGATAATGGTTTACTTAAATGTTCGCTTTTTTTTTTTTTTGCAATTGCATGCTAAGAATATATAAAAAGAAAAATGTCCTTACTTTCATATACTGTCTTTCAGCTCTACAAATAAAAGAGAAGGCACTATTAGAGACCAGCAGATGGTATAATGGTTACATCACTGGACTCCCACATAGTTGACTGTGGTTTAAATCCTGGGTCCATTGACTTAAAACTCATGCTGGGTGCATGTGCATGTGTGCCCAAGATCTCGAGAGGAGAAGAATTGTGGCATGACTTGATTTCTCACTTCTCGTCTCTCTGTATCCTCTCCAGTGAGCATACACACCCTTTAGCAAAATACCTCTCTTTCTATAAAAAAAAAAGAAAAAAAGGCAGCACTGTTTTAAATGATATGTTTTACCCATATTCATATTTGTGTGACTAATCTCAAGAAAGAATATGAATCAAATACTTAAAAGGACTGAGCCAAGCACAGTTAATAACTAAAAAATTAAGGGTATTTAATAATAATTTCCATATTCTTTCTAAAAAATATGCCTTTAAAGGGTAAAATTCAATAAATCAAAACATGCATGTTCTGAATTTTGTTTCCAGAAAGAAATAACAAACATTTGATTTTCTTGAGGTTCTGAAGCCCACTTACTATATTTATATTATCCTATTTCAAAATGTAAATAAGTCAGTATAGTAGTTTTAAGACTGCACCTTAAAGTTCATGTTGAATTATATTTCTTTACAAAGGGTCAAGAAGCTAAGATGACAAAATATGTGCTTACATTCTACTTAGATGACTGAGCAGTTGACTCAATTCAGAGTCATTACTACATCTGGGTACAGTTCTACTGAAATAAGTTATTTGCTTTCTCACCTCTGTTATCTTTTTCCAATTTACTCCTTGCTTCACTTGGTGTCCCCCACATGTAGTTGTCTTTTGCTGAAACTCTTGTTCCATTTGGAGTATTTCTAAGTGCTGACTTAACACGTCCCCACTGCTGATATCAGAATTGCATTCAGCCCAATTATCCTGGAAGCATTTAGAATTTTGCAGTGTAGACCCTGTTGGCACCTCATAAGTTTTCAGCAGTTTTTCCACAACACCATAGTTTGACCTGGGATCAGCTGACCTTGGTCGGCCAGACAGATTACTTGGTCTCCAGTCATGCTCATGGAGCATATGCCGATAACTGCTAGGATTTCCATGTTCCTGGATCTGTCTCGGTAGATCTGTTGTGGATTTCTTAGTGGGACTATCAGGCACATTTTCCATGGACATAGGCATGTGAGCACTGGTTTTCAAAACACCAGACATACTGTCATTTACTGATATGTTACCTGTACAAGAAGTTAAATTATCACAGGGCTTAAGATCCTCAGGTGGGTTTGAGTAGTTTTGAATTTGCTGTATGGCACGACAATTTCTATCTGTTCTAAATACAGTTCTGTTAAATTCATCAGTCTTTGCTGCCAACTTTTCATTCCTTGTAGTCCTTTCAAAACCACAGCTAAAACTCCTAGGTGGAGCACTGCTGTGTGTCAATGAGGAGCCACAGTCTTTACTCACATGGAGATCAGGATGAGATTTGGCAGGGTGATCTGGGATCACCATTTCATATTTTGGCTTACTGGGGGTAGAGCAGATGTTGTTCTGAAACCACAAAGTGGAGGGGCTCTTTTTTGCACCTGTCTCAATTTCACATGACCACATGTCTAGCCCAACATCTTCATGACATGGAGGCTTACAATCTATTTTGACTTCTGATCCCAAAGAAGAAAACACAGTATGGTCTTTCAAAGTCACCCCTTCATTTGGACACCACGCAGGCATCTCATTCTGCCTTACAAGGAAATGAGGATCACAATTCCTTTCACCTCGTCCCTCATGGGCTCCCCAGCTGTTGTGGTCTAAACTTTTCTTAAGCCCTTCATGGACTGATTCAGAATATAGGCTGGGAAAATTTCTAGAGGTGCTTCTTGGAGGAGGAACTGGTGGAGTTTCATTTATTTGAAAATTGATTGTATCAGTTCCACATTTTTTCATGGGATTGTTTTGGAGCACATTGGTCCAGCTCAGATTCTTTCTATTTTTCTGTATTTCTTTCTCTAAATTGACTGGAAGAATGCACTGGGTATTGTAGATCATGTGGTTTCCATGAGGTGTATTAATTACATTTGGCATTTCCTGGAGAAAGGAATCGGACTTCTTCCTAAGCAATAATAAAACATGATATATTAGGGATAACTTTATTTAGGACAAGATCTGAAATCACAGTTTAACCATAGATTTTGTCTATGGTAAAAGGAATCACAATCTCCTTAAACATAATTTTTATATAAATTTCCAATTCAAAACTTCAGATATCTCTTATTGTAGGATTATTTTACTTTCCCAGTGTTACAGTCAAGGCTTTATGTACATAATCCAAACTTTCCAATCTTGTTTCTCATTTTTTCTACTACATGAAAATTCACCTAATCTCGGACTAGAATATACAGGCTCCTGGGTTTCTGTTATTGAAATTCTCATTTGTGTATTTTTTTCCCTTGCCATTTCCTTACCTCCTCTCTGCCTACCGAGTTCCTACTGATTATGTAGTGTGCAATTAAATTCTTCCCCTTGAATTTGAAATAACAGTTTTAAGGAAGATAGAAATCTGAATAAAAGTATAATGAAACATGAGTAATTCCAAAGGGAAGCTGTCATCTGGGCTTGGAAGAAAAGTCAAATTTAGACCAACTGATGACATGGTATTTAAGGCAGCTGGACCCCACATGGCCACTGAGACGCATGAGTCCTGGATATGGCTTTGAAAAATGCACGGGACCAGCAGACAGTGTAATGGTTATGTCGCTGGACTCCCACACAGTAGACTGCGATTCAATTCTTGGACCTGGTAGTGTAAAACTCATGCTTGGTGCATGTGCATACATGCCCAAAATCCCAAGAGGAGAATGGAGGAGAAGGGATTGTGGCGTGGCCATACCCCCTGGGGGGTGATTTCTCGCTTTCTGTCTCTCTGTCTCTCCAGTGAGCAAATGTGCCCTATAGCAAAAATCTCTCATAAAAAAAAAAAAGAAGAAGAAAAACATGTAGGACATATGTGTATGTGCCCAAAATCCCAAAAGGAGGGAGAAATGGAGGAGGTGGGTTTGTGTTGTGATCATCCCCCTGAGGGGTAATTTCGTACTCCCCCAGACGAAGTTTTAAAACTACACCCTAAACGTCATGTTGAGTTGTATTTACTTACAAAGGGCCAAGAATCTAGGATGCCAAAGCTCCCTCCTTTGTTCCCATGAGCGCATGTGCCCTCTGACAAACTAAAAAAAAGTTTTGTTTTATTCTGTTTTGATAACTTGAGTAAAGGGCATATAGGCAAAGTGAACTATAATAAAAATAGAGAGGCTACTTAAGGAACAAAGACGTATAGTTACACGTCAATTAGAAACTATTAAAAAATAAAAATCATGAGCACTTTGATATGGATGGGTTGTAAAGGAGAGTAGGAAGGATAATGAAAAGTGAGATAAATGGAAGCTCATATCAAATTATAATGTCTTTAAATTATATGTTAAAAATTTTGACCTTTTTTAAAGGCTATGGGGTGACAATGAAAGCTTTATATCAGGTGTGGTGTAGAAGAAAATTGACAAGTCTTTTCTGAATCATCTAAATAAAAGCTTAAATATAGCAACAATGTGGATTCATAAATTAAACTTCATTACTCACATTGAAATATACATCATATTTATAGCTCTCTAACTTATAAAAGATTATAAGATAGCTTACAATAAAGTACAGAAAACTATCCATTAACAGAGATAGCTTACAATAAAATGCAGATAAATATGCATTAACAGAATAACAGGCAAAAGTTAAAGGGGCAAGCAAAGGGCAACATTGTGTGTAAGACATGGCTGGCTGTGCTGGCCCCTTAGGCAATGGTTAAGAGAGCTAGATCCCACATGGCTGACTCTAGTTTGAATCTTGATTCCAGTGGCTTGAAAACCATACCAGGCACATATGCATGTGTGCCCAAAATCCTGACAGGGTGGAGAAATGGAGGAGAAGGGATTGCAGTGTACATGAGAAAGCACCAATCCATTAGGAGGTGTTTTTTTCCCTCTTTCTCTCTCTCTCTCTCTCTCATGAATAGCATGTGCCCTCTGACAATTAAAGAAGTAAATAAATAAAAACTTTAAAAATGATGTGATTGACTAAGACAATATATTGCAAGTTAGCACAAAATTTCCCTCTGAGTTTCCTAAGAACTAAAGACAAATAAGGGGAGACACTGTTCTAGCTTTCTAAGAGAAGTATACTGCTCCGTGAGATAAATGTTGATCTTAGAATAACTAATCTTAGATTGTAGAGAATTCTTAAAATAGTTTTTCTTTTGGCTAAAGCTTACTCTTACAATTATATATTGTTTCTGAACTGAATGAACATTTTTTTGTGTGTGACTTGTGTGTGTAACATATTTACAACATGTTCTGGAAACTATGAGGTATGTACTAATTGCAGAAAAATTAATTACTCTTAGGCATAAGATTTTCAGTAAAATATCATTATACTTAAAATATCACATTGTTAAATATGACCTAATTTAAAGATGTATTTAATTGTATACTCTTCTAATGGCCAAATACTGAAAATTTTAAAGAAACCTACATTAGAGGACACTTACTAATTTATTATAGAGTTTACCTAACACCAAAAGAGAAAGTATTCAGAGTGGTTAAATTACAAAGAGAATTGGAAGATTTGTTTTAAGAATTAGAGGACAGAGAAGTATACAAGTTTTTCTCTCCCATCCAAGATATAAATTTTAATAACTTTAATAATTCTAACGGGACCAACAGTTAGCGTAATGGCTATGTTGCTGGACTCCCATGTAGTCGACCCTGTTTTGAGTCCCAAACCTGGTGACTTAAAACTCACGCCGGGCGCGTGTACGTGCGTGCCCAAGATCCTGAGGAGAGGGGATTGTGGTGTGGCCATCCTCATCCCCCCTGGGGGGGGGGTGATTTCTCACTTTCTGTCTTTCTGTCTCTGTCTGTCTGATGAGCACACGCACCCTATAGCGAAAAACCTCTCCAAAACAAAAACAAAAACAAAAAAAAAACCTCTCCCCCCCCCGAAAAAATAATTCTCCTTATCAAAATGTAAAGAGGAGACAGT